CAATATGCTATAGAAATTCCACGGCCCACCAGTGCTGCCACAACTGGTTTTCTGCATATAAAAGCCAGGGCTGGCATTAGGGGGTAGCAGGCAGGGAATTGCCTGAGGCCCTGTGCCACAGGGGCCACCACGAAGCTAAGTTGCTCAGGCTTCAGCTTCAGCCCCAGGTGGTGGGGTTCGGGACAGCGGGGCTTCGGCTTTCTGCCCTGGGCTCCAGTGAGTCGAACACTGGCCCTGCTTGGTGGACCCCCTGAAACCTGCTCGCAGCCCCCAGGACCCCTGGTTGAGAACAGCTGATCTAGATAATAGGGCAGCAGGCTGGAAAATAGGAACTCTGGGTTCTAGTCTGACTCTGCCACTGACCTGCTGGGTGCCCTTAGGCAAGTCACGTCTCCTCTCCGTGCCTCGGTTTCCCCACCCTTTGTTTGACTTGTCTGTTTAGACTGTAAAATCTTCAAGGCACGGATTGTCTCTTACTATGTGTTTGTCCAGCACCTAACACAATGGGGCTACTTTAATGGAAATAATAAGGAAAAAACTAAGATGAGAAAAGCTATATAGATAGCTATAAACTTGGAGGTAACTATTTAAAAAACCGGAATAAAATACAGGCCGTCTCACAGCCAGGGGTGGCAGATTCAGCTGGTCCCTCTGCCCGCCTTTAGGCCCTCAAGCGGGGCGGGGCTCAAGGTCATCGGGGGAGCAGAGGTGTCCAAGAGACGCTGACGGTGAAAGGGTTCCCCTCACCAGCCAGCTGGGCGCCTGCTCACATGTAAAGACGCCCTCAAGAAAGGAGAAGAATGAGTGTGACCCAATGGGGGTAGCTAGGAGCAAAGCGAAGTTGGGAGGCAGAACTTGCTGCCGTGAGCGCCATCAAGCTGTGGGACAGCCTCCCCAGTGCTTGGGGGCATTTAAAAGTAGATGGGAGAAAACACTTGAAAATAGGGGACCAATCCCCTACTGCGATCGATTGGCCGAGCTGCCGTTCATAGCCTTGTTCCGTGTCTGATTGGAAGGAGCCCTCAGCTTTGATTCTGGCCTCGCTTGCACCTCTGTAAATAAGGAGCCCAGGGGGCTATGCCAGCGTAAGGCTGGTGGACGGGTCTGCAGAATCAAGCCCCTTGCCTCTCCCAGGCCAGCTTCTGAGCCCCGCTCCCTTCCCTCTTTTCTTTGTGAAATATCGGCAGTGTGGAGCGATC